TCTATGCAAAATGTACTTTTATTGGGGACTTTTCAAGTTATACCCAGTGTAAATTTATTTGCTATCATGCTATACTTCAGGCATTGTTTAAAAGACATCCTGAGTCTCCATGGATTAATTCAAAAGGATGGTAGCATTTTTTCTTCTTGCAGAAAAGAAGGACCAATGTTGTAGATACTTGTTTACTTCCAGAAAAACTCTGGGAATTAACTTCTACAGACATCATGCAATGTTCATTTTAACATTTCTACCTACCTTTTGTATTATACACACTACAAACAACAATAGGGAGTCATTTTACCTCATTCTAACAAATATATTGAGTGTAAAATACATAAAATGGAGAATAAGTTCAAATTTACCTTTTAGAGGAGGATATAAAATTTTCTAGCCCAGAGACTTTATGAAACTCATAACAATATCAGGGAGATCCAGTGTTCAAAATATCTCTTCCTCAAGTTGTGAATTGCTTTCAGTAGGTTGCAGTCATTCAGAATTTCACACTTTGTTACATCCCATTTTTGGCACTTGTCACAGTCAATGCCCTGCCTTATCCTGAGTTTTCAATTTTTCATCCCCAGACTTGGTATATACAATCTACACCTCCTTAGCTATATTTTATACACTAGAGCTTAGTTCTCAAAATGTTTGATTCTCATGTTATAGCACCAACTTTGTCCAAAAAATGATCAGACAATCTTTTTGCCCAGTTAGTGTAGATAGCTTCCATCTGTCAATTGTAGCCAGAATAGCCGGATGCGACATATCCATTTCGGATGACCTGGGCCTTTCGATGCCATTGGTACACAATTGTCAACAATGCACAGTTTTAATTCTGGGGAGATATTTATGTTCTACAGCTGTGTTCATCCTAAAAACAACCTCTGAAACCTCACCAAATATATCCTTGATAATGTTCAGATCACTTCAGATAGTTTCCCTCTGTCCAATCTGACCGAAATAGTTGGATGCGACAAACCCTTTTTGGATGACATTGAGCCTTAGACGCCGTTGGTACACAGATGTAAACAACAAAGAAAAAACTTGAAAAAAGATTAGCTACTCTACCACTCGACATACAGGGAAGCAAAAACAATAAAAAGGATCCAATGAAGGATCTGATAACATGTATTTCAAAGTATCAACATAATTATCCCCTGCAGCCATTCAGCGTTGTCGTTCCTTCTGCCCACCCTCTTCCATGCTCCACCCCAGCTCGCTGCGGTGCGTGTCCACCTCATTTTGATGCAGTCGAGCACCTTCTTCCGTAATCCTCATCTCCGAAGAAGGGGTGGATCGTGCCTCAGTGGATTAGGGCACCTGATTCGTGCGCGGCTCTACAATGACGAAAAGGGATATGTTAGATAGACATTGTGAGAGACAGCGGAGAATACAACATTGGGATGTTCTCCGGAAGGACGCGTGTCGGAGGGATGATGTTGTCATCATCTCATCATCTTGCTACTGTTGTCCGTTGTCGTGTTGTGTTGGCCCGATGATGACGAACAACGACCAGATGGCATGGTTCGCTGCCTCGATGTGGCAACGGGGTTGTCTGTGTTGGGAATGGAAGGGAGCGGTTATGTTGGGCCTGCGGAAGAATGGCGCATCGGTGAGGAAGCAGGGAAAGAGCCGTAGAGTACTAAATGAGGTCGCAAGTGCCGAAGTTCTTGAGGTGACATGATTTGCTGAGGTGTTGGATCCAGGGCCACTGGAAGAAAAGAAAACAGAGTGAGTTGGTTGATCAGTAGGATTGGTTCGTACTCACCTGTTCATTGTGGTCGAGCAGGATAAATGATTGCAGTCGCGTTTGACACACTGTGCAGACAGGGCTAGGGAATGAAGTCGGTATCGGTGCTGGTGATAGGGTTCATTGCCTGTTGTTGGTTCGAGTGGTGATGATGGTGGGTGCTCGTCGCCGTCCGTGGGTGGTGGGCACTCGTGGCCCATTGTTGTTCACAGGTTGTGGTACTGGTGATGGGTGGTCGCTATGTAATGGATTGGCCTCATCGTCCCTCGTTGTGGGGTTGTGGGGTCGTGGGCGTTGTCGTTTTGAAATTCGCCATTGACGTGGCATGCCTGGTTTGTTGGTTGGTGTACCACATAAACCATCTGGTGGTGGTGCTGTTGGAAACGGGGTGCTTTGTAGGGAAAACTCACTGTATTGAAGCTCGCATCTAGCGAACATCGCTGCCCCTTTCTCCTGTCCTACTGTCCTCTTATCTTTTCAACGGATAGGAGGAACCCGGCCTGGGGTGCGCCTTGAAGCTTGAGGGGTCGTATATGCCTGCTGAGGGAGGTTGGGAAGATGCATTGAGGATGTCGTGTCGTCGTACTAGGTATTTGGGCTGGCCAGAGGATGGGGTTGAGGGAGCAAACTGGAACGGTGGCTCGGGGATGTTCTGACTTCAACCTGGCTGTTTATGACTCACGGCAAGCCAAAGCCAAGGCAGCTTGAGCTGTGCGGCGGGTGGAACAAGGAGATGGGCGATGAGAGCATGTTGGCAGTGTGTCCTGATAGAGGATATGAGCTACGTTCATGGGTATGGGACGAACTTACAGATGATCCGGATCGCCAAAGATGTGTAGGGCGCGAAGATGCGAGGATGGGAGAGGACATTGTTGATCGAGACGGACATATGTGGCTTGCTCAACTGCCCATCAACAGCGCTCGGAAAATGCCGAGCGCTGAAGGAGCATTGCGCGCACTTCCTCGCACACTCGCTATTGAGGGAGAAAAAATACGGAAAAATGTATTTGAAGGTGCTAAGGAATAGGAGTAACATTTTAAATAGGTAGTACCATGTATTTCTAAGGCAAGAAATAAAAGTCAGAAAAGTTGCAATCTACAGCTGAGATTCCGGCACTTTCAGTTGCTTTATTGTGACCCCTCTGCACCAATCCTATCACCTGTATCTCCAAAATCCTCTGATTTCCACAAAAATTTGGGGATCTATTCAGTTTTCTATTCTGAAGATTTCTATGTAAGTTTAATGACCATTGGATGATTTAAGTGGACACAGTATAGTTAAAGTCTGAAGAAATACACCCTATTCATTGACTTTCACAACAAAACCTTCATTATCCAAGTGGATACAGTACTCAGAGACTTTTTACTGACACCAACCTTTACTTAGGATCCTGTGAATCTAATTCCCTAAAAATTAGAACAGTACACCAAGGTTTTCCAGCACAGTTACATGTTTTAAAACCCTCCTAAATATGAAAAAATGATAACAAGACTTTCAGGTGTGTTATTTTACTCAAAACACAAAACTGCCTGTCCTAATATCCTTTCACTTATGCTATGGATGTTTGGTAGACTCTAGCTGGCATGTATTAGTTTATAACTTTCTGGAATGATATGTTTTTGAGCTTTAAAACAAAGATACTCCTTTCTCAACAACTTTTAGCCAACTTCTGATGATGTAGGTCAGAGTTTGTAAATAAATCATGCTGAGCAATTTAACCATTGTCAGTATAGTGTTCCCTTCCCTCCTTACTCAATTTCTGTCAAATTTCCGTTGTTTTCAATATGTTTGGGAAGTTTGCATCTGTTTGTCTACAGCTTCAAACTCGTCATCCAACTTCACTACGTGGCATCTATCCACTTGCGAGGGCACCATGAACGGGAAAAATGGAAAAATGGTCTATGTTCTACTTTTAGAGTACTAAAATGTATATTTTTCATTAAGTACAAGTGTAGAGTATGATTGACCATGCCTTTTGAAGATCTGGGCACTTGGAGGAAACTGTTTGTATCTATGTGGCAACGCCTTTGACAATGTCATCCAAGTGGAACCTGAGCCATCCATCCGAAAAGCTGCTGAATTGAAATACAAAATACATACAAACCAATTGAAATTGAAGAAGTATGAAGTCAAATACATCAATATATTGAATGACACCCTCAAAAGCGCACTTTTCATGATTCCGCTCTCAGAAGCTACCTTTGTTGATGGTTATTTGTTACCCAGAAGGATCAAAGAACAAAAGGTCATCCGGAACATGATTTGTGCATCCATCATCTCCACACCTCGAATTGAGGTGGCAATTTTTTCAAAAAATCAGAAATATATTTCTAGATTACTTGGTAGCTTTGAGTCACCGTAACACAAGTTTTGATGGAGAAAAATGAGAATCATTACAATTGGAATATTCTGGTGAAATGCAGCTTTTTAGAAGGATTATGACATGAAAAACATATGTGGATGCTCTTTTGGCAAGAAAAACATACACAGAATACAGGAAAACATACCAGTCAACAATGCTGATCCAGGATGTACCATGTCTAAGAATTTTCATTCATAAAACATATCTGAGCTATATTTAGATCTGTCCAAGAGAAAACATATTTGGATGCTCTTTAGGCAAAAAAAAACATCCACAGAATACAGGAAAACATACCAGTCATCAATGCTGATCCAGAATGTGAGATTTTTGAATCATCAAACATATCTGAGCTATATTTAGATTGGTAATAAATTACAGGATCTTAAGAAAAAACATATCTGGATGCTCTTTAGGTAGACAAAACATACACTGATCCAGAATATCCCATTTCTGAGAATTTTTAATCATAAAACACATGTCAGCTATATTTAGATTTGTAAGAAATCAGAAACATATCAGGCTAAAAATAGATGCTGTAGAATGATATTATAAGCAGAAAACCTATTCTAAGGGTATATTTTATTATAGGTGCAGTGCCTTTTATTTTTGAGAGGCTCTATCCCAATGTTCCACAGTCCATGGCATTTTGGGCCAGTGGCCAAATGCACACCCTATGGAAATGAATAAGGTGGATCATCCCAGGTCAATTTGGTCTAAAATTACAGCCTGGGCTGAGCAGGCAAGATGTGAGTGAAAAAGCAATCAATTTTGTCTGCATCGAGGTCGCTGACCTCGTTCTCTCAGGACCTATTTGATGTGGATGTCCCCATTTCGGGTGAAAGGCTTGACATTGTCGAGTCTTACAATAGATGGCCTTTCCGTGCCTTCTTTGATACACTTGAGCCCGAATTTTCATCACTTTTTTCTTTTGTGGCTGCGCTTAACTGATTTTTGGTGGTTCTGAGAACCAGGGGTTGCAAGATAGGTTTGAATTCCAGTACCTGTGAAGGTGGGTGTACCATTGGGAGGTCCATAGAGGGTGAAATGAGTGGGGAAGTGTCGTAAATCACATTAGAGCAACATTGGGTATATATCAGAGGTGTTCATTGTGAGGACATGGCTGTGGATGCCCTTCATTATTCCAACCCGACGCGTCGCGTCTTGGTCGTGTCTCGTCTTAGCACTCTCACATGACTCAACTGTGGGAATAAAGAGCATCAATTTTTTACTATGGTTTGATGGCCTGGATAGAGTGGTGGAAAGGGCATCATAACTTACAGGTAAAACTATTCAGAAACCCCCCTTTCTGGTAGAAACCCAGGGTTTCCGAGGGTGGTTTGAGAAACCCCTGGCATATGGGCAAATTGAGTTCTCGGTGACTGGTGATGGTCGCCGGCGATTAGTCAACTAAGTAGTCACATGTCATTTGCTGTCAAACAAGCTGCCAAATGTTGTTTCCACCAAACAAACTCAACGATACCCACAACACTCTTCATTGTTCCAATGGTTCCATGCTCTCAACTACAAGCCAAAGTCAACTCTCCCTCCAAGTTCATGCCCAGGATGTGTATTACTCATGGCTCAGACACCAGCTGATGTGAGGATCGTGATGGATGGTTTGAGGAGACTGTAGGTGAGTGCTCTATGCCTCGAAGGTAAACCACTACTAAATGCATGGACTGATGTTCAGATTATGCTCTTGGATACCCACCATGTTCTGTATCCGCTGTGTTCTGTAGCCACACTAGAAATTTCAGAGGGCTCTGCAGTTTTGCGGAGACTATCCCCCATCTTGTCCTTATCTTTCACCCAATATGCGACGCCAGGAAGTTTCACTGCCTTCTCAGCTTCAGATTTCTCCTCCATGACCTTTGAGCGAGCTGCTGATCTTCTGTATCTGAAAATTGCTGCCCCGAATTCCGTGATATATTGGTGTTACAGTGAAATGTCCCTACCAATGCTGCAGGCACCATTATGACTCCGAGCGATACTGTTCCACATGCGACTGACCTCCTGCCCATTTTCCATGATATGGAAGGTGCCTTTGGTAATGGAATGAGGTCTGTTGTTATGACCATCATGTCGGCTGAAGGAGAGTCTCAAAATACTTGCGAGTATCATTTTGCGAAGGTAAGTCAACTGCAGATCACTCTGGCCGCACACTGACTTATAATCATAAAAAGTTATGGTTGTTCATTCTGATTAACAACAATGAGGTCAGTGTTTCCTCTGCATGCAAATTAGTCCAGCACCTCGAATTGCCACATTTCGAACTCAGAGCTATTTTGGAAGACCTAAAGCAGCAACCAATCAACTCAACTATTTGTGGCTTGTACAGGACCAACTTTCCCCTTCGGAAACTTGGAGAGCTCTTGGGCGAGACCTGGGTTGGTGAGGATGTGCTGAATGGTCTTTCTGAGCTGCTTTATTTTGGCCAAGCAGCGAAAAGCACCAGCCCAAACCCACCATTTCTATGCCTACAGACATTTTTCTTCACTGATGCACGCCGTTTACACCAAAAACATCCCCATTTATACAGTCAAGAGCTCTTAGATCTCCACCAACGTCTCTTTGACACCAACATCCTCAAGATTAGTATTCAGGTCTGCGACGGTGATCAATACACATCATATGTAACCAGTGCCAATGCTGTTGAGTTTAATCATGGAGACTCAATGCACAATCCACCCCTCGCAGATGCTCTACAGGTCTTTCAATGGGTGTTTAGTGACATTCCTGGCTTCAGCCAGGAAAGGATCAATACAGAACAAGTTGCGCGCCAAGGTCATGGCAATGGCAGTGATGGCAGCTGTGGGCTTGCTGCCTTCAATTTCATGGAATGACATTTGGATCCCACCGTTCCTTCATGGTCTGGACAACATTCTCAGACATTTTGGAATCGCGCTTTGCGTGACTTGGTACTCTACCATATGACTGCGAAGGAGGCAAGCGGTTGCGTCTTGAGCTGGGTGTCGAGATGCATCCCAACAACAAAAAACGATATGCTAGTCAAAACTGATGGATTCTGTGGTTACAACGACTATAATCTCTATTCGCCAAAGGTATGTGACTCCTGTTCTTACTGTGGTAACTGGTGACTCACGAAACTGTCTTGCCTCCAGAATGACCATCCCATTTACTGATTCTTAGAGAGGCAGAGGAAATTGACGCCTCTCCTACCTTCAAGCGCTCGAACCCAAACTTCACTTCCCCCTGTTTGCATGCTGGTGGGACAACATCCTGATGTTGGCTCCTTGGTTCAAAGCAGCTGTTCAACAGTCCGTAGATTGCTGTCAAAACTGAAGGTTGATATTCCGGACTCAAATAGGCATTCGCAATGCATTGAGAAAACCTCAAAAACCAGTTTGAGTCATTCACAGTCAGAGCGCTCACCTTCTGTAACTGTTATATCTCTGCCACGTACACGACATCATGCTGCAATACAACAGATCAATTCCACCACACACCAGGTCCATCCCCAAAAGATCATCTTCATGAAAGAAGAGAACATCAATCACCTATCACTATCTGACAGCAGTGATGATGTCAAATCCATCCCACACAGCAATCACCATATCAAGCTGCCTGCAGCACGTACGAAACCTCAGGCCCCCCTCATCATTGACCTCTGTCCACCTGAGATGAAGCCTACTGTTACACTTACGCGTGGTTCTGTGGTTGAGGTCAAAGACAAAGTTAAGAACATTGATCGCCTATCACTCTCCAACAGCGGTGAAGACATGAAACCTATCGCACGCAGCAGTCACCATATCAAGCTGCTTGCAATGCCTATGCAACCTCAAGCCCCCTTCGTAATTGACCTCTGTTCACCCGAGATGAAGCCTACTGTTACACGTGGTTCTGTGGTCGAGGCACCTGGGGTCGTCCAGGTAGGCAGTGTGTACCCGTCATTGGAGGCAGCACAACAAGCAATTTATGCGCAAGAAAACTGTCTGGGCCATGTATGGTGAAGAGGTCAGGGGACTAAAAGCAACGACAGTTCTCAAAAGAAAATGACCTTTCACTGTAATCATTACCATCATCCAACCCCAACACATTCCGCTTGGATCAACCCGTCTGATCATTAGTGTTCGCAAGTTCAGTTCAGTCTGGTTTTTTGCCCCCAAAATGCGCAACCGTGGACCGCAACCGGTCTAGGACCGACCCAAATATTGAGGGAACCGAACCGAACCACCAAGGACCGGTCTATTTCGGTCTATGGAGCCGGTTCAGACCGATCCAGACCGGTTTTTTTGCGTATAATGTATTATACCAATATAAACCATTTGTATCTTGACTATTATTACTCTGAAAAATAAACGGGTTATATAAAATAGTAAAGCATGTAAATACCCGTCATTCTACCAATTTTGAAGAGATTTAATGAAGATTTGACATAGCTATGACTGAAACCAAATTACATCTCGTAGAGACTCGGGTAAAATATGGATTTGGTTATATCTTTCTCAATTCTTAACCATTTTTGATGAAACAAAAACCCAATAAAAGGTAATAAACGTGGTTACAAGGCTATGTAACGCACGTGACCGTTTAACCGGTTGCAACCGATCAAAACCGGTCTTTGAACGGTTTTAATATATTTTCGAAATGAGGCAACCGGCAACCGGACCAACCCCAAATTGGGGCAACTGCAACCGAAAAAAAGACCGGACCATGGTCCGGTTCAGTTCGGTCCACCGGTTTTTTGCGGTCCTATGGACTGAACCTTTAAACACCACTGATCATCGTAAGGGAAGATCCATCAAGACAGATTGTATGGCTCATGTCAATGTCAATCGGATACAACACTCGACATTATGGCGTGTTACTCTTGCCAACTGGGATCATAACCATGAACGGGAAATCCCTGTGGGTGGCGTGATCCATCACCCAGCAACACTTGAGCAATGAAAGGTTGTTGTAGAACTAGCAACGTCTTCAGGCAACTTCAATCGGAAACAGATATCAAGTGTCCTCGCTAGCTGGTTTTCTGACACCCTAGAGCCCCGTCAAATTGGCAACATCATCACAAAGGCACGACAGGAGGCGAGGGAAGCTGTAGTGTCACTTGGTGAGGACGTAGCTGCCATCATTGCAAGCCTGCAGAAAAAGATAGATGAAGAACACGGTTGGAAGTACCACAATGATTCACAGACTGTCACTGGCATATGGTGGCAGTCTCCGCTTCAAGCTGAATTGACAAAACGATTTGGTGACATTCTCATCAACGACAACACCTACAATTGGAACAACAGCGGCTACCCTCTTAACGTAGGGGTAGTTATTGACAACACTGGAACATCGCGTAACGCCTGGTATGCTTTACATGCAACGGAGGACCTTGCACATCACAATTGGGTACTGCGATGCCATCTTGATAGCACAGGTGGTATACACCCCGAAATTTTTGCTAGCGATCGAAGCCAAACCCTTATCTCTTCCGTTGAAGCAACCCTACTGCTTACCGACCATGTCTACTGCCTCCATCACCTTGATGGCAATGTAACCACCAATTTACGAGGCAGTCTTGGGACTGAGTGGAGCAACTTCCAGCATGATTTTTGGGTGGCATACCATGCTGTCTTGCCTGAAGAATTTGATCGCTTATGGAAGCACCTTGTTACAAGATATCCCTCAACTCAAGCTTATCTCAATGCTGAACTATATCCTTCCTGTGAACGATGGGCTTGGGCATGGGTATCCTTCAAATTTACTGCAGGGGTACGGACCAATGGGCGGGTTGAGGCTGAGAACAGAGTGAACAAGTTAATAGGTGGACCAAAGATCGGCCTGAAGCAACTGTTCGATAGGCTCAATGAACGCACGAATGGCCAACACGTTAATGAAATGATTCGGGTTCAAGAGGTTCGTAACGTTCTTTATTCTAGTTATCAACAAATTCACGTGTACTATCCTCCAGTCGTCGCGCCGACAACATGACCACAACATAGAATCTGTCTTCATAGGACCCCTCAAAATTCTTCGAGACCATGTAGGACCTTACGCATTACAAACATGCTTCAAGCAAATGGAGTTATCAATGTACTACAAAACCGAAGTCTTGCAGCTCCCTGAGGGTATGCGTGACTGGGTGAGCACCTCCTTTTGATTTCTTTCCAACTTGTTTGTGAATGCTGTGCATAGACAGAGTATGCGATTCAAATCGACCAAGAAATGGGCTACGATTGGGTAGGAGGGGAGGAGAAGGTCAGTCGCATCAGCAAATTCACACCAACAGTGCGGCTGATAAACTTGTGCGCATGCAGTCCATGCTCTCCCAATTCAAGAACGACAAAGTGTATATCTCCACCAAATGGCTTCTCCATCTTATCAATGGACGAGGCCTCAAAGTTATCTATCTTCTCCGAATTACTCACCTCAGGACCAGCGCTACACATTACCTGGCTGTTCTATCTGACAATCAATATGTCTGCGACTGCTGTATGGGCATGAATCTTGGCATACCCTGTCGCCATTACTTTCAGGCTCTCACCGTCGTGAAAGCCAAAGGTCTCCAGTTCCACATTGGTCTGGTTCGTGCAAGGTATTATAGTTTTTGTAACTGGCCTACTTTGGATTCTAATGGTACATCTTCTTTAGGTGGTATCAGGATCCTTGTCTCGATATAACTGCCGTCTCCGCAGTCCCTTTAGATGATGTTGCAGTTACGCATGCCATCCCAAAATCAATAACGACTTTACCCGGATCTCTCCTCTCAAACCTGTTGAGCCCTAGCAAATGCTCCACTGCTCCCACCGAAGGCTTCTCTACAGCAACCCAGACCGTTCCAGCACACACAGTCTTCCACGAAGCTCAGGCAGCAATCCGGCCACTTCTATCAGCTGTGCAAACACAAGAGCAACTTGATGCTCTCATCGACAGCCTTTGTGACCTACAGTGGGTATTTCCTTGATTGGTTGAGAATATTTAACTGTGATTGGTCCCAGAGAGGATGCATTGGATGAAACGCACCGGGAAACACTTCATGACCCCCCTACATTGAATCCCAAGGGAAGGCCACGTACGCAGCGTCTAACAGATGCATTAGAGGGCTGTGTGCGAGGTGGAGGGGGTCGCAAACGATCTTCTACAAGTGCTGGTGGGAGTGAGCAAGCCACAAAACGGTTGCGGCCAAACCGATGTGGTGCCTGCTGACAGGAGGGGCATAATCACTCCAATTGTCCCTGTTACCTCACCCCAATGTTTGATAGATGAACGATGGTGACTGATACACTGGCGAAAACTGTCAGTGTCGACATGCGAGACGAATCAAAGGGGTAAATAAGATAAAAATACATTATCTAGACATGTAACAATCATATCTACAGTGGCGATCAAAAGTATTGCACAGCCACCACATGCACTTGTAAATCTAGCCTACTGATCGTAAAATGCACTCAATTAAGATAAGAAAACAACTACACTGCAGCCAGAAAAGTACAAAATAATGTGGTAGTCTCAATAATAGTAATTAGTGGTCCCGCCGATGTCAAAGCCATGAGAACGAATCAAAGCGCTGTGCAATTCTTTTGCTCACAGGCTGTCAGATGTGAGATTAAGTGATTGCGGGAGAACCAAAGAAGCAATTTCTTACTGGCCTTCAGTACTTTGTAGTGCCACCCTGAGCCATCATTAATGCAGCAATGCGATGAGGCATACTCTCATAGAGAGTGTTGAGGGCCTTCTGTGGAAAATTTGCCCATTCCTCCTGAAGTGCTACCCATAACTCCTCCTTGTTTGTCGGCAATGGGTTGCGAGCACGAACTAAGGCATCCAACTGATCCCAGACATGCTCAATGATATTCATATCTGGGCTAGATGGCGGCCATGGGAGTTGCTTGACATTTTTTCGTGCAAACCACTCCTGAGCCACCTTGGATCTGTGTTTGGGATTGTTGTCCTGCTGAAAAATCAACCCCTCCTTCCCTGTATGCCTTATTTTTAGGTCCTTAAGACTACCAAGAAATTGTTTATCAAGAATTTCCACATAGTCCGGGCCGCACATAATTCCGTCAATCCGATGAAGGCGTCCCATACCCTTAGCAGTAATCATCCCCACACCATGAGGTTTCCCGTGCCATGTTTAATAGTTTTCTTAATAAAGCGATCATCTAGGGCCTGTCCAGGTTGAAACCATGCATATTAGCGGCCATCTGATTTGAAAGAAGGAATTTGGACTTGTCAGAAAATCCAACGTGCTTCCAATCCTCTACAGTCCAGCCTGCATGTGCCAAAGCCCAGAGGCGGCGCTTCTACCGATTGGTGGGAGAAATATACAGGCGAGACCTATGAACACAACAGACAAGTCCGTAAGCCCGGAGATTGCGTGAGAGTGTGTGGCGAGAGATGGCAGGGAAGGCTTTCTTAACAACCTCAGTAGCATTTGCAGCTTCACATTTCGCAAGCATCCGGGCTGCAACTCAGACGTCACAGGCATCTAATTTACATGGCCAGCCTGTCTTTGGATTAACATAGTAAGGATCAGCTGATTTTTCGAAGTGTTTCAGTATACGGGTGACAGTTGTGCGATGAATACCAATTCTTTGGGCAATGTCATTGTTGTCCATGGAAAGCTTCTTGAGATCAACAATTCTGGTGACTTTTGTTGGGGAAGTATAGACCATGATTGCGAAAAGATGTCTGAGCTGTTTTTTTCGGTCCATACTTTGCTAGATCTTTTATAATGAGGTACCATGTGTTTCTGAGACACCTGAGCAAAAGTATTACACATGGTTTTCAGCAATAAAATGCATGTATTATGGCTAGATCTAATTCATATATGTGTAACTTGTTTCGATTATATGTATTAAACTTTAATGTACCCCAAACACTCATTTTACTTGAGATTAAAGCATGAATCCAACCAGGAGATCGATGCGACTTGATCACATGGTGGCCGTGCAATACTTTTGATCGCCACTGTATGCTCCGAAACCGTATAGTGTGCGTCCCAATCGTTTCAAGGCATGTA